CTGTACAAGGCATGAACATGCCAAAAGACACGGACACACATAAGCATTACATCCAACATCTTGTTGAGAAGTTTGTCCGTGACAGCACGGAAGACCCGCCTCTACAGTACCATGGCATTCACTCCTTGAATCCATAGCCCTTCTTGCCATCATGTTATTCACCAAAGTGAAGCTTCCAGTAGCTCCCGATCATATCTCCATATGATCTAGTCCCTCACGGGAATGTGTCGTGTATATCGCATTGTCACGAACTGTTCCACCACGATCCGTTGCACCATGTCGTCTCCTGGTGACATCTCTATTGCATTCTGATCCTTGTGGGATGAAAGTCGATTGTGACAATGCGATAAACACGATAGGTTGTTCAACGCCCAACACCCGGTGAGCAGCTGTTTGCGGACTTGCAACTGTTCGTTCAACCCTCTAAAGTCCTTGTTTTCCCCCTCTCCCTCTTTTCTCTTGTGCACGCAAGGTGCTCGCTGAATTGCTTGTAAAGCTTTCCCCTTTCGCGAGACGTCGGGAGTTGTCCGTCGCTCGTTCTTTCGAACTAATCAACTTTCTCTTTTACAGGTCCTTCGGGACCTGCGAGAGGTTACAAGTGGGCTGATCTTTGCGGAGCAATATCGCAAGGGCGAAGCGCGACTTAGGCAAGGCAAGCTAAGTTCGTGTCTTTACCGCAAGAGTGCCTCGCGATTTAGGCAACGCAAGCTAAATTCATGTCTTGGCCGCAAGGGTGCCTCACGCTTTAGACAATTCCAGCTAAGACCGTGATATTGAGGCCCCTATTACCTTTGTATATTTTTGCCCATCCTTCTCTGCTCATTGCTTTCAATTCCCGCTTGCACCGTGAGATCTTATCGTCGTTTTTTCCCATCACCTCATCGCCTTTGCAAATAGTAGCAAAGGCGATGAGCGAGAAAGGACAAGGGCATTTATGAGATTATGTGGGAAAAACAAAAACAAGGAGATACCTTATATGGAAAAAAAAGGAGATATTTTTCAAGAAAATCGCTCCAGAAATAACTATCATAAATTTTATTTACCTAAATAAATATCAAAATTAAAAACAAAGTGAGATGAATAATATTTTTCTTCACAACATTGACTTATGAAGTATTTATCATTACTTTGATAGGAGCACTGCCACAGTGTCTTCTGATTACCCACTGATGAGAATGTTCCCAAGTCGAGACTAAAAAAGCTTCCTTTGAATTGTATTCCATACTCTCGATTAATATATGATCTTTAATCTTCTTCTTTAAAAGCCCGTAATCCAACTTCCTACTGCCTCAAGAATGAAGGAACCCTAATGGCTCCTCATCCAATCTTTGCCTTGGCCTTGGTGGTGTTGCATGGCCCAGTAGGCATGCATGGGTCTCAGCAAAGCCACGTCGTCGTCGTCGTTCTCCGGCGTCGGCTTCCTCCACGCTGCGCGCCACTGGGTTTCTCGAACGTGACCTGGTTCTTGGCTTTCTTCGTAGAGGGCGACGATGTGATCGATCATGGCGTGGTCGTCTCTGATAGCTCGTTGGACGTGGAAGCCATGGCGGAAAGCTCTAACAGAGAGATAAACAATAAAGCGAATAAGATAGATATATTAAGTCAAATCACGATATAAATAAATGCAAGACACTCTTAAGATTAACACTAACCAAATCCAACACATAAGATATGATTGGACTCACCCAACGCAATTGGAAATCACAGCTCAAACCACCGAGAGTTGTTCGACGTATATTAGTAGTAGTTTGATGACCAAAGAAATGAGAGTCCGGAAATATATAAAAGGAACCGAGAAATCAGAGGATATGATAACAATCATATATCTTAACAAAGATTTCCCAACTAAAATGGAACTCTTCCTACTATTAAGTGTTTCGGTGTTGGGCTGCAACCCTTCGTCTCCCTCATCCCCTGCGCCTCCTGTTCTCTCTCCGTGTCCTCCTCCCTGGTGATCGATATTGTTGATTCACGTTGCTTTAGTTTGCATAGATCTGCGTAGTAATATCTATTTTGATGGTTCATTTCTTCATGCATGGATCTACTGAAACTTACAAGAGGCTTATGATCCTGTCGTTTCAGCGCGCAGGTGATCCATGCACTCGTGGTTCCTGTTGGGAAGATTAGGTGAGTAAACCGTAAGTCGATTGATGGAAAGAAAGATGAAGCTGTTTCAAGTATTTTTGTGGGATTCGGTGTCGTCGATACTCGTTGCTGTTCTGAGAATAACTTGCGGTTTGATCTCTTCAGCCAAATTGCGTGTTGGTGACGGCAGTGGCATGGACGCCTCTACTGCTACTGCCACCGAGACGAGCTCTCCCGTTCGGTTTGATCTCCGAGAGCATCCTCTCTCGATCGTCTTCCCCGGCCTCCACGAGACGGTGCAACGCCGATGCTTCAACCATAGCAATTCCGGGATCTGCCTCTTGTTCATGAACTCATCGGTGGCGCTCCATGTCCTCAGCTCCTACGGCTTGGAGCCTGATGATCTGGCCAGGCTCGAGGCAAGTGTTCTTCACCTCACCGTCTTCGCAACCGCCCACAACAGCTTTTTGATCCCTCTTTGCGGTGGCTTCCTTTGCAGGCAACGTGTTCCTTCTTCAGGCAGCACGGCGGGCTCCCCCCCGACGAGCGGCTGCCCCTCACCGAGCTTGCCGCCTTTGACATGTGCCGAAGGAGGGTCGCATTGGCCTCCATGGCCGCGGCGGAGGAGGAGGCCCTCAAGCAGCGGTGCGGCGGCTCCTACAAGCTGCTCCTCAAGTATCTGCTGGCCGGCGAAAGGGCATGTGATCGACGGGAGAAGTTTCAGGTGGTGGCTGGTCCTGGCTTCAGCATCGCCGTCACCTCCAATGGCGAGGTCCACACCTTCGGTCACAACCACTCAGGGCAGCTTGGACATGGCACCTTGTCGAACGAAGAGATGCCGCGGCTCATCAGGTTACGCCAGACTACGATTGTCCTATCTGCCTTGTACGCTCTTGGTGAAAGAGTTTGTGCCTCACAGATCACTGCAAGGAGTTCGCATTGTTCAAGCAGCAGCAGGAGCAGAAAGGACATTGCTGGTGACTGATGCAGGCAGAGTCTATCAATGTGGGAAGAACTATTTTGGGATCCCGATCTTATCAAATTCAACCTTTGATAGTATCAAGACGCCTGTGCTGTTGGAGTCTTTGAAGGACATATTTGTTGTCCAAGCAACAATAGGACACTTCTTGACTGCCATCCTCTCCAGAGAGGGAAGAGTGTACACCCTGTCTTGGGGCGTCGATGGAAGATTAGGTCATGACACTGATGCCACGGATCGCACTCCCCGTCTTCTTTCGGGTGTTCTCGAGGACAAACCAGTGGTGCAGATAGCTGCCGGCAACTGCTACCTCCTTGCTCTTGCTTTCCAGCCTAATGGCATGTTAGTTCTCTATCCAAATCAAGTTAATCTAATTGTCATTATGAACTTTATCATCAATTGGGAAAATTGTAGGATTAGTCAAATAAAATGCCTCTCAAGATTTTTTTTCTTAATAGCATGCAAATTCCTGCAAGATGATTGTTTTAAGTCTATCTAATATGCTTGCATCTCGATAGATATCATTGCTGTTTTTCCATCATATGTGAGCATCCTGTTTTTGTTATGAAATGTAAAACGAAGCATATACAAAAATCTTGAACCAAAATCATGTTTCAAACAGCAAGCTCATAAGTTAAACTATGCAAGCAAGAAGAAATAGCAACCAACACATCCAAACAAGCATTGCCTTCTGTTATTCATGTATCAGACTGGTTCTTGGGTGGACTGATACAGTAGTATTCGGCACTGGTGTTCTGCTGAGAGCCAATTATATTCTCATGCATGTATGGGCACACAACAATGCCATGTTCTTATACTGCTTTTTTTATGCAATTCTCTTAGTTGTGTGATCAATGCATTTGGAGTTGATAAGCCCTGCACACAAAAGACTTCACATTCATTGCTAAATTGTTATCTTATCTAAACTAAGTACCTTCTGTGAGACCATAAAAAAAGCAATGATTACAGAGAAACTAAATTGTGAAGAACTCTTCTTATTTGTTGTTGTTCTACAGGTGTGTGTACTCTTTAGGCTGTGGTTTGGGAGGAAAACTATCACATGGTTCGACGGACGATGAGCACCACCCAAGGCTGATTGCTCATTTTGCGATACTCAACCTGCAGCCTATTGCGCTTTCAGCAGGTAGCTGGCACGCTATCGCTTTGGGCAAGGATGGACGCGTATGCACATGGGGATGGGGATACAATGGCTGCTTGGGTCATGGAGATGAGGATTACCAGAATCTTCCCAAGGTGGTGAAAGGCCTGAGCCATGTCAAAGCTGTACATGTTGCAGCAGGCTTGTGCACCACTTTCGTGATCACTGAGAATGGTGATATCTATTCATTTGGCAGAGGATCTGACTCAAATTTAGGTTATCCTCCTCAGGTCAGTTGATGCTCCTTCATGCTTCTTTAATTGTTTTCTTCTGTTTATAGTGAGCATGTGTGTTATCTTCTACTGAAACAAAATCATCATGCAACTATCTGCTAAAGATCGATTATAGATCCTTCCAAAGATGAGCTGAATGTATTGCTTTTGATATAACTTTACATTTGAATCTTTGTTAAATGTATTGCCTAAATTGTGGAATTATATTAAGAACAGAGATAAATCAATGTGTCTCATGGTAGCTGTTGCTGATGCTTCAGTTGATACCAAAGGTTGATATGATTCAGTGCCTGTGCAAGAATAAAGTTGCACATTTATGTTCAGTAATTACCAAAGAGCAGATCCAACTAAAAAACAGAAGCTTGTAACCATTTTTGGACTCGTTTACTCTGACATTGCTCCTGTTAAAATATGAATTGCTACTTCACGCTAGATCATTCAAACTCATTGTTATGATTCTGTTGCAAGTCCTTTTGCATCCCTCTTGCTGCAAATTTCCAGGAGTAGGTTCAGAACTGTTTCCCTAGACCTGTTTTTTTATATAGCTTTTCCTTTTATCATGTGTATCGGGTTTGTCTTTCCTTGATGTATCACCCACCTCTTGCAATTTCTCAGATTTTAGTGCAGTAATATTTACAGATTGATTTTAGAAAACAAGTGTCAAAATTCTTTTATATCAATCAATGATATCTAATTATATCCATATATGCATTAGTTTTAGATATTGTGCGGCTGAGTAACTTCCTGCATCATTCTGATTCGTTGTTTTACAGTATGGTCATCGCCTAGATCAGCTAACGCCAAAGTTGGTCACTTCACTCACTTGCGCTGGTGAAAAGATCATTCGGCTCAGTGCCACCAAGGAGCATGAGGCAGCAGGGCATACATTTGCCATGACAGAATCAGGGAAGCTTTATGCCTTTGGCATGGCCATTTATGGTCAGCTTGGCATCAAACTCCTACAGGGCCAGGATGGGACGAGTAGCCCTCAAAGGGTTGATATTGATCTCAGTTAAACTTTCATGATCCTTTTGCATTTTGTTCATTTAATTGTTTGCTAGGTTTCCTACTGAACTCAGCTATGATGATACAATTGTTGGCAATAGGTCTTCTTTTTTGTACATGATTTGATACTATCTGAACATGGCTTGAGTTTGAATTTTTCTTTATGAAGTCTCTTATTTTAGCATGTTATCCAAAGGTAGAGAAGCTCAAAGTCAAGACTTATAGCTGCTTATGAATTAACAGCAGTTTTAGCTTGAAGAATAGCACCAGCATGAACAAAGGATGGATTGTATTAGAATACAAAATTTCTAATAATAGAAAAAATTAGTGCACACTATATTCTACAGGAGTTCATCTGACTTAAGCTAAGCACTGGGAAAAGGTCAACACATGTGACCTTTTTGTTACGGTCTGATGGGTATCTGTCTTCAGTATGGTTGGATCAACAAATCTTGATTTCATACAGCAAAAGACATACACAACTAAATGTGATTAGCTACTGAATAGTACAATTGGTATGAAAAGATTTACTAAATAGATTCTTTGGACTTTTAGATCCCTAAACTAGACTAGATGACCTCCAATTTTTTAGGTCATTCACATCATCAAGAAAAAGATATTTGGCTTCTGATAAGTAAACACAGTCTGAACTGTTTTGAATGGATATATTGAATGGCAATGACAATAAGGGCAGTCTTATTTACAGTGAAATGAAATTGTTTACCGATTAATAATATTGGAAAGTTATATTTATGCCTGAAATATTTTAAAAACTATGATCATGCTTTTATTCAATGAATAGCATATTTACCTTGAATATGAATGAATAAATTCAAAAATTTGCAGGATTACATACAATAAACGCATGAATTATTTAAGCTGTTTAGGAAACTAAACATTTTGATCATAGTCTCTTACTGTTCTTCTGCATTTGGAGCATTGAAAAAGGGGGATATGCATGATATTTCGATTTAGATGAGAGTAAGATATATTTTCCAGCTTCCACAGAAATTTACAAGAAGCTCTGTGGTTATCGACTTGTTGAAATCAACTTGAATAATTAACATGCAAATCGATAGCAATTATCAATAACAATTAACAAGGTGGTTGTGGTTTGGCCCCCAGATGTTACCGACAACGTAAAAGAGAGCATGTTACTTGTAGATTAGACCAAGATAATAATCAGATCATAATACTACAGAATGTTTGATTAACATTGTGATCATCTTTGAGTTTGAACCTAGATAATGTTTGAATTTCCAACCCTGTTTTAACTCATAATTTCAATCATAAATCATAAAATTATCCAAGGATAAGATGAATGTGTGCTCAGTTTGGTATGTGATCAAAAGCTAATTATGGAACCGTGACAGAGTCCTCAGCTTCATTTTAATTCATGAAAAATATTTTGACACAATATTAGTCTCACGCACATATTGCCCTAGATATAGCTATCAATTAGCATAAATAGTTTTTTTGATGACCTTTCACCTTTTAACTCATTATGAAACATGTCTTGATACAACACTAGTATCACACAGATATTGCTTTCAGCAGAGCTAAATAGCAGCACAATTATTTCTTGGCAAATGGAGCTAAAATCTTTCCTCTTGAACTCTGCACAAAATTTTGCTGCAACTAGTTATTTCTTCAGCTAAAGAATGGCAGCAGGTGAGTCATTTGACATTTGAATGAACATAGCACTATTAATCCTTGTTAGTTGTTAGGATCTTCAATTAATTGTGTTCTTCATGAAGAGTTCTTGTCTGATTAATCCCTTCAAAAAATGATCAGTTTCTCACCTCCTTTTGTATTTGTTGTTGGTGTTACTCTCCACTGATTAAATGTTTGTGAGAAGCATTAAAATGCATCTGATGCCTCTGCGCTGTTCCTATACTGCATCTCAAGATATGCAATGACAAGAACACATGACATTCCAAAAGGGGTTCTCATTTGCCTCCATTCAACTCAGTCACATATAGATAGATTTACTGCAGAACTAGTCTTAGTGAGAATGAGCCAACATCATGGCAGAGGCCTCAAAAGGCAACTAACTTAGAGCATGAAGTAGCCGGCCGCAGACATGGCCACGACAGCCGCGACGGAGGTGGCGCCACCAAGGGAAGCGCCGGCGTTGCCCGGCTCTGTTGCGTGGGTGCCGAGAGGCGACCCGACGCCGCCGGCATCGCCGTCGTCGATTTCGGTGGGAGCAGCAGCGTCTTCGGGGACAGGCGAGGTGGCTATCGGGGTCAGGACGCTGGGCGTGGAGCCGGACGGGGCAGTGGACGGGGCCAAGTCGGTGGTGGCGGAGGTGGCTGCAACGGCCAAGACGACGAGGGCGGCCACGAGGAGGAGTTGCAGCCTCGCCATGATGAGATTATTTGCTGTAGTTGGAAGCAAGGAATGGAGGATGAAGGGAAGGGAGGGGAAGGGATGACGAATATATAGGGAAGGGAAGGATGGTGGAGGAGGAGGAGGAAGAGGTCTTCGACAGTTATTTCGGTTACGTTCGTTTGTCGTGTTCTTCTCTCCGAGTGCAAAGCGGAGGGAGAAGTAGAGCGGGTCCCACGGCGGCTAATTCGTAGACTCTTGACCAGGCTTTTGTGGCCTGATTGGTGCAGAAAGTGGGTCCCTCTAATCAATTTTTTATTATATTAATTAAAAAAGTAATTAATTTGAAAGGAGGCGCTCACAAATAAGTCTTTTTTGGTTGGGTTTTGGGTTGGATTGTTCATAGCTTTACTATGTTGTGAGGATCGCAAGAACAAGATTAGGGAGTTGTCATGTATTTAAACAGGTGGAAATGGAGTGTCATGATATGAATCAGATGCACCGTAATAAAATTCATGCAGTCTACCGGAAAATTGAAGTCTAATTAAGGAGAAGAACTACAAACATTCATGTATTACAATTAAGTCCTTAAATGAGGAAGATTTTAACATCCTCAAGTTTCATCCTGTGTAGCGGAAATGTATAAATATTTTAATTGACTTATATATATATATATATATATATATATATATATATATATATATAGAGAGAGAGAGAGAGAGAGAGAGAGAGAGAGAGAGAGAGAGGTGAGACTAATGGCTGAGATAAATAAACTATATAAATTAGGGTTTGTTGAGGTTATTAAGGAGTTGAATCTATCAATTGGTTATAGCTAACTTTCCTTCTGAAATTTGAACTCAATTGCGCAACAGTGCCGGAAATATATAGAAATCCGAAAAACAAGTAATTATTTGAAATAAAATGCAAAGAAATTAGAATACATGTCTATTAAGTTCCAATTGGGAGGCCATAAGCTCAATTTAGTCTAAGATGATCATTAATATAACAAATCTTTAAAATAGCACTAATTAAGGCTTTATTTGAGTCAATTAGTTCCAATTGGTGCCATTAATCAATCGAAGTTCAGCTAGAATAGATGATGAGTTGAATTGTCACCATCACTTGATATTCGGCTTAATTGTAGATAATTTCATCATGATCTCAAATTAGGCATATTTTAAAGTTATAATTAAATAAACATTTATATTTTGTGGGTCATTGTCAGGTTCAAATAAAGTTTAATTTCTATCTATCCTTACAAAAGCCTACATGTCTCTTCATATATAATATATATATACATATATATGTATATATATATACATATATATGAATATATATATATGTATATATATACCTATATATATATATATATATATATATATATATATATATATATATATATATATATATATATATTAACCACAGACTAAATAGGGTATCAATAGCTAACTTAAGTTATAAATATATAAAAATATTATATATTAAAAATATCTTTAATACTATCATCAACATAAGCCTCAATGTCACAATGTCAATTTAGATTTCACTGAGAGAGATTAATTATTAGAGCGTGTATCCATATATTAGAATTTATTGATCGCGTAGGGGTATATAGGTACTTTTACCGATCAATTAAATATAAAACTTGTGGAGAGGACGGCGTTGTCTGGCTTTCTCCATTCTTCTCGAAACCCTGTTTCCCATAATACCCCCGACGAAACAATTCCGTTCCTTCTCCATGTCCATTCCCCACAAGCCTTTCGTCCTCCTCCTCCTCCTCTCCCTCCTCCTCCTCCTGCACCTCTTCTTCTCCTCCACACCCAGCTCGCCCAGGACCACCACCGTCGCCACCTCCACCGCCGCCATCCGCATGCGCCCTGGCTTCCGCTCCTACGACGACTACATCAAGCGGCAGCTGAACAAGACCCTCGACCCGCGGCTCCGGCGCCTGTGGGCGACCCGCGACTGGGACCGCAAGGTGCGCGTCTTCGCCCGCTTCTTCGCCGACCTGGCCGCGGAGGGCCTCGTCTCCAACGCATCCGCGGCGCTCTGCGTCGGGGCAAGGATGGGGCAGGAGGTGGCGGCCCTGCGGGGTATCGGCGTGGTCGGTGCCGTGGGGATGGACCTGGCGCCGGCGCCTCCCCTGGTGGTGGCCGGCGACTTCCACGCGCAGCCATTCACGGACGACTCCTTCGACTTCGAGTTCTCCAACGTGTTCGACCACGCGCTGTACCCGGAGCGGTTCGCGACGGAGGTGGAGCGGACTCTGCGGCCTGGCGGGGTAGCGGTGCTCCACGTCGCGGTGCACCGGCGCGGCGACAAATACTCCGCCAACGACCTCCTCGGGGGCGTCAACGGCCTCCTCGGCCTCTTCAAGCGCTCCGACCTCGTCCGCGTCCGCAAGATCGACGGCTTCGGCCTCGACACCGAGGTCGTCCTCCGCAAGAAGAACAGCCACAAATAAATAATATATATATATAATATAATATAAATCCTTTTTCTTTTTTTATTTTTCTTCTTTCCAAATGCCAAATTGATTGTTTTATTTCAATTCATCTCTTAATTATATTCCTCTTTCAATTTTTGCTATTACGTAGAGCACTAAACTTGTATCATATTTATCTAATTCTTTTTTTTTAAATAAATAAATAGAGAAAAAAATAAAGAGGTAGGAAGGAGAGCCCCAATAAATTAAATGGAATGGTGTTGAAAATATAATTTTAATATCCCATGTATTAAAAATGAAAAAGAAAATTATTTTTTTACCCATCACTTGATCGTGATGTTACATATTATCTTTTTCGTCACTACAGTTGATTATTTATTTCACTTATGAAATTATAGAAAACTCAATGTAAATTTTTTAAGTATAAAAATCGTGATACTAATATAATCTAAGTGTAAAAGATAATATATAATTAGCTCTTGAAATCAATACTAACTTAGTACACTAATACATTAAATATAAAACTTTTCATCCAATTAACTACATTATTACAATAAGCTCAAAGAAAAGTCATATTTATATTATAAAAAAAAAGAGAGAGTTAGTATGAAACCTATCAAAATATAAGTCGATCAATAGATATACCAACTCCATGGAACACATGTTGTCAATCATAAGCCAATACATGTCCATGTTCACCAACTTGCTTACTTAGGCAAGATTTATCGACTCGATCTGTTCTGGCCACCCAATTTGATGCTTCAGCGGTAGGCATTCCTCAATTGACAGACGAGAGAAGAATTGCACGCCACAATTACGAGATCATGACATGTTGGATACTTATTTAAAGCGGATTTAGGAGCAAGATCCATGCCAATCCTGTAATTCGGGTCCATTAGATCACTGTTGGGTCAATACCGAATTCACCAAATCGGTCATAAATAGATCCGATCCAATAACACCACTATGGATTCTGGTCCCGCGAAGTCCTACCCGACTTTCACGTTGGGGGTTGGATGGACCCCACCAAGCCACCATTGCATCGATCAAATAGAGTGCGTGGTAACGATTCTGGTACACGAACGAAACCCTGGATCGGATCTTATGGGCGCCTATCATAGCGCGACTCTCAAAGCGTGATGTACGCGGATGATGACGTTTCGGAACGGGATGGACTCGGCTTTTTCCAGATGGTTGCACGAATCTCGGGGAGCATCGGGCCTTCAACGGAGTGTTAGCTGTCCTGCACACGAACCCGCCCCGTGGAAACGCTCCCATTAAATTCTCCGACTCAGCTCGCCATGGACGCAACCATTGTTGTCTTGCTCCAAGGTTACCCCACTTCCCCTTGGCTTCAAACACCCCCTCCCATCTCTTCCTCCTCCATGAGTTGATTCAGCTCCTCACTGCTGTTTCCGGTCGCCTGATTGTTGCCCACCAGCCTTGAGGGGAGGCAGAGGCAGAGGCAGAAGCAGAGGAGAGATGAGCTATTCGACGAACGCTCCGGCCGGGTTCTGGGAATGGCCTGATGTCCAGATACTGACTGCCGGAGAGCGCAGGATTCCTGCTCATTCCAAAGTTCTGGTGAGCTACGAACGTCATCTTCGGTTCTTTCCTCGTTCCCGTTGCTTGGATCTCTCACGATCGAACCATGTTCTGTTCCTTGTGCCGAAGGCGTCGGCGTCGCCGGTGTTGGAGAGTATGTTGGATCAGCCACGCCAACGCGGGGGCGAAGAGAGAGTGATTTCCATTCTCGGAGTTCCTTGTGGTGCAGTAGATGTCTTCGTTCGCTTGCTCTACTCTTCCAGGTTAGCATCCTCTGGATTCCTCAGCTCGGGAGTAGTTTGCCTTCTTATGTACTCGTGGAGGAGACGGTGGTGGTGGGTGTTTCAGCGTGATGATGGAAGATGGTACAAAGGTCAGCACCACCATCACAGGAGGAGGAAGTCATGATGGATGCCTAAAAAAACGCTCAGCTTTGATTGCGACGTTAGTCCTTTTTGATCGAGACCACGCATTTCTCGTGCATTTCGATCTCAACATCAACTTTAATCATGACTCTCTACCTGATATATTTGAAGAACCCCACTACAAGGACATGGACCGTGCCACTACAGCTAGCCATGCAGCTCCATGCCATGAGAGAGAGCCAACAGGAAACGGATTGGAATGTTTAGACGGATTCAACCCGACCAAAACTTAGATTAGGTGCTCCAAATCTTCTAGATTTCAAGAGCCCACGATGATTGAATGGCTGCAGGTGTGTGCCGCCGGCGGCGGAGATGGGAGAGCACGGTGTGCACTTGCTGGTGCTGTCGCACGTCTACCAGGTGGGTTGGCTGAAGCGGGCGTGCGAGATGGCGCTGGCGTCGGGGCTGGCGGCGGAGAGCGTGGTGGATTTGTTGGTTCTGGCCCGGCGGTGCGACGCGTCATGGCTGCACCTCCGCTGCATGAGGGTCATTACCGGGGACTTCGCTGCCGTCGAGCGCACCGAGGCGTGGCGCTTCCTGCAGGACAACGATCCCTGGCTCGAGCTCGACATCCTCCAATCCCAACAAGATGCTCGTTTGGTATACGCTACTCCAATGATTCGATGTTGTTCCTCCTCGAAGCAGGTTAGTTTCATGGGCGTCTATGAATCTACAGAGGCAGAAGCGGCAGCGGAGGAAGAGGGAGGAACAGGCGCTATATGCAGAGCTTAGCGAGGCCATGGAGTGCTTGCAGCACATCTGCACCGACGGCTGCACCGACGTCAGGCCCTCCGGCCGCGAGGCGCCACCGCGCGACCGCACCCATTGCCCGAACCCCACCACGTGCCGCGGCCTCCAGCAGCTCATCCGCCACCTCCCCGCCTGCAGCCGCAAGCAGCAGCAGCAGCTCGGCTGCACCCGCTGCAAGCGCCTGTGGCAGCTCCTCCGCCTCCACGCATCCATCTGCCTGCATCCCGACCCCTGCAGCGTCCCCCTCTGCTCGTAAGCATGCAGCATCCCATGCAACTTTCATCTGCATGCTTTGGCCAACACCTAACCTTTCTTTGCTTATCTGTTGCGATGTAGCCAATTCAAGCGGAAGATGGAGCAGATGAACTTCAAAGAAGAGGAGGAAGACGTTAAGTGGAGGCTCTTGGCTAAGAAGGTGGCCTCTGCTAGAGTAATGTGCTACCTGGCAAGGAGGAATGCAGTTCCAGTAAGCTTGGCTGAAGCAGAGCTCATCGACTGAGAGATTACCAAGTCAGATTTAGACCAAATTAACTGGGATGCATCATTCTCATTTACATCAATTCCTTCAGTAGTTTGGTCCATAACTGCTGTGGTAGATTAACTCTACCAAAGTACCATAAATATGTTCAAGCTTTGTATATGATGAGAGAGAGAGAGAGAAACTTCCATAGATTTTAAGATTACTCTCAGCCAATATGATTTCTCATCTCACTCAGATAACAGTGCATGGCACAATGGCCTCCGCATAGCCAACTGATCATTCCTTGGTTATCTTAGATCATATTTCAACAAACAAATAGTGGAATTCTCAACTGAAAGAAAGAGTAGTGTTCAAAAGCCGAGTGTCGTGATAAATGAAAGCCCGACGATCCTCTGCTTTGCCATATCATTATTCTATTCCAAAATCTTCGAGTTAATGTCTGTCAGATATAGTAGAATGCTACTGCTTGCAAGCTACTCTTAAGCGGAAAACGCTACCTGGAATCAGGACATAGTTGTTGAGCAGTGTCAGATTCTGCTTCCATGTAAGAACAAGACTCCCTAAGAACATGGAAATAAATGGGTGTCATGTTATGGCATTACTTTCGCTGGTTATGTTGTCCAGTCCTACATTAGGCTTCTTGTATCCGAACGGTTTGAAGTCAATTTCTTGAACAATCAATCAAATGCTTTTGCTTGGGAGGCATTCCTGAATAGGCTTCCTTGAATCAAGCGGGCGTGTTTCATGGCACGGTGATGAACAGTATCTTCCAATTATAAGCAGCTTTCTCAGTTACTACGACTTGGAAGAATGCATGCTGAATCGATGTCATCAAGCATTTACTATTTGTTCTTGCAGCCGAGCAGTTCATATCCGACCAACTATCATTCACCCAGGTTAAGAATGTCAGGTTAATGCAAGCAACTCCCTAACCAAACCAAACAAGTAGTAAATCTAATCTAATCTGATGTATCTTACAATTGTTATAAGACCTCTAGGAGTCTCATAGAGTGATTGGTCGGTTCATGCTCAAATTCGTTGTATAGTTATCAGATCGACGAAATTTGGCAATCAATTGGCCAATTTGTCAATTCCTTGATCAATTTAAGTACTTAGGTCAATTAGATGGCTAAACTGAAATTGGGCACATTGGTTGGGCTTTTGGAAATGGGCTTAGTTTAATTCAATAGCCCCCTGTTGTCAATAATGGGCCTAACTATAGTTTACTGTCTTATATATATATATATATGAAAATAGAAGAAAACAAAGTAACTTTGGAGGGATATATAATACAAAATTTCACTTGCATATTAAATTAGTTATTAGATTTATATAGAATCTTTTAATTTTAAATTTGAATTTATTTAATTTTTATACTAAATTATATTTAACTTTTGTATTTCTGTCTCTGACAAGACGTCCGTTTACAATATCATTAATTGTGAGAGTGTTTGTGCAAAATACCAAAGTATTACGGTTCACCCCATCTACGCCTCATATCCAAAATCCCACACGCCCCCTTCTCTCCTTCTCCTCTCCTCCCCTATCTCTTCTGCCCCACTCCGATCCATGGCGGCAGGCATGGCCTTCAAGCCCATTTCGACGGCGGAGAGCCTTCTCCCCTCTCTCCCGACCCCCCTCTTCTCTTCCAAGCCCGCTCTCCCTCTCCTCCCATCCCTTCGCACCTCCAAGCTCCCCCGCTTCCCCCGTCTTTCTCGCTCCCATTTGTTGCTCTCGTTCAGAAGGAAGCTTCCTTTGCTTCCGTTTGTGGCACAGACCTCGGACTGGGCTCGCCAGGAGGAGGAAGAGGAGGAGGGGAACGAGGTCGAAGACGGAGGTTTTGACTTGGAAGCGCCCGCGCCCGAGGAAGGAGCCGGGTCAGGACTCGAGGAGTGGGAAGGAGACGAGGAGCAGGCTGCGGAGGGTGAGATAGCCGCCGAGGCAGACGGCGGGTTTGTCGGGGGGGAGGAGGAGGAGCCTTATTCCGAGCCGCCCGAGGAGGCCAAGCTCTTCGTCGGGAACCTCCCTTACGATATGGACAGCGAGAAGCTGGCCCAGCTCTTCGATAAGGCTGGAGTTGTCGAGGTCGCTGAGGTAAATAAGTTATTCTTTTGAGGTCTTCAATTAGGTCTTATAATCAAATGTTTTTTTTCTTTTTTCTGATTTGTTTTCGTTTCTTTAACTCCTTTGCTTTGATGTTGGTGTTGGATTACGATAATGGCAATAAGCTCTCTGCGATTATGGGATTATGCTTGTGGATGTGCAGGTGATTTACAATCGGGAGACTGATCAGAGTCGTGGATTTGGATTCGTGACCATGAGCACTGTCGAAGAAGCAGAAAAAGCTGTGGAGATGTTCCATCGTTATGTATGTTCTCTTTTGTGATTACCGAGCTGGTGCTTGTTCTTCCTTGCTTACTGTATGTAGAAATCGTGCACACTCAAAATGATGTCCTTGTAGGATCACTGAGATAGCTCTGATTCTATAGTGTTAGGTGCTTTTGTGTTAATCTATCCTCATTATGTCCATTTGATCATGTTCATTATGCTTGATCGCTTATGATAGGTATGAAGTCCTATCGAAATAAATATTTCCTTGGTGTCTATTTCTCTGCAAGATGTCTGATTTAGTGCAATAGTTTCACTTGTTGAATTTTGTCAAGTCTACACTAAAGTTGGTTTAGTATCTTTTTTCCTTGATCTTAGTTTTGCCTAAGGACTAACCAAAACATCTTCGTTTACCTTTTCAAGGAAAAGGAGGAAATCACGTGGCAACTTCTTTTTCCAGTACTTGGATTATGTAATACTGGAAATGTGCAGAAAGAAATTCTGTGCTGACCTCTAATAATTTATTGAGGTTTAATTTGCTTATGCATAAGGTGAATAACAATGGCAGAATATAGTGGATATTAACCACTTAACATTGTTACAGTTTTCTTTTTAGTGATTATAACTATATAAGTAATCCATGTCTTAAGTGTTTTTTTCCTGTTTGTATGGCTTGTGTTCCAGTTCATCTATGTGTCCTAGCTTGGCAGTAATGTGATCGATTATTTTTATATTGTTTGTTAAGGGGTATGTTGTTTCTTTGTTATCCTATTAAAATCCCACCGGGACATTCTGCCAAGTCTCAGGAAGATGAGTTCCAAATATATTTAGTTAATAAATGCTCAGGAAGATGAGACTACATTCAGATGAGGTTAAGACAATGCCAACCAGCATTTGGTTGGATGGTGTTGACTCAGGTCAACACAGATTATCTGGACTGTTATAAACTGTTAATCCTTTGGCACAGTAAGGAGGAGGAATAACCAAACTTATTTGAGCTTTAACTCCACACCGTAGCAAGGTTAGGGAGAAAAGATGTTCAATAACTTTTTGGCTGACTTGGATCAGTATCATTAAAAACAAATTAATTTCTGATTCTTTTCCAACTCTCAAATTGTTTTATTAGGCCTGCAATCTAAGCTACCTAGTGAATATGACTTTTTTAGTATTGAATACTCCATTAGTTTTCTTATTTATGTTTTCATTTATTAAACTTGTAACATGCTTATGCTGCTGCTGCTGCTCATGCCGTTTCAATGTTTGGGCACGACTGCATACAAATTGGTTCAGAATTATATATGTGTATATCTATATGTATATATATTTCTGTATTTTATTTAAAGAGTATGGAATATATGTGTTTCTTGTGAAGTAAAAGTTCCTGCCTACCCTTTGCTCCAGTATGGTGAATTTTGATTTTGACTAATATCCAATGATCTTCCTAATTTTCTTTCAAGCTTCGGCTAGCATGAAGTGATTCTTGTTTCTGTGTGGGTAGCATCATTTGTTTTCTTGTTATGGTAAGATTTTTGATAGTTTGTTTTCTACTTTGGAAACAGGATGTTAGTGGCAGGCTCTTGACTGTAAACAAGGCTGCACCCAGAGGTTCTCGTGTGGAAAGAACACGGGAATTCGGGCCTTCTTTGAGAGTCTACGTTGGCAATTTGCCTTGGCAAGTGGATGATGGCCGCCTGGAGCAAGTATTTAGTGAACATGGGAAAGTGTTAGAAGCAAGGGTGATATACGATAGAGAGACTGGACGCTCCCGTGGTTTTGGCTTTGTGAAAATGGCATCACAGGCTGAAACGGATGATGCGATTGCTGCTCTTGACGGACAGGTGAGTTCACTTAGTTTAGCCAGTTATACTTGCTGATATTAAATCTTCCCTGGTAGATCCCAAGTGTGCAAAATGGCTAATGCATGGTCTGATAATGAAATCTCGGACGTAGAGTTGATTGTTAATTTCTGTTTTTCCTGATAACATGGGATGACACATTATAACAGGGTACTTTAATCGAAGCATTGTTGTGTGCAATTGCATCAAGTAGAAACCGGTATAAGTTTGATGAATCAATTGCCACTTGGTTTTCGCAACTGATTGTGATTAAACTCTTAAATTAATGGTAGGAACAAAAAAATTAGATGAGTTAGAAACTAGATATTTGATACTGCTACATACTTTGAGCATCTAATAATTTTTTGCTTTCTTGATGTTTACAGAGTCTGGATGGTCGTGCGTTAAGAGTTAACATTGCCGAGGAGAGGCCACGGCGTGCCGCCTTCTGACACGGAAAAGCTGAGAGTTGCTTCATCATAAGACATTGTTGACAAGATCAAATACTGCTGTTTCTTTTTTTTTTCCTTTTTTTTTGGTTTCCTTTTGTAGCTTGTGCTGAGTTTGTTTCTTTTGCTTTTACCCTGCTATTTTAACTTGGGGATTTCTAAATGCCAATTATATCACTTATCGATGTGTTGTTACTCTATGCTGGATTGAATTAAAGTAATTTTGAGCAGTTTAATACATACAGGTATAGTATGTGTATTTTTTTCCTATTTCTCATAATATGTAAGAAATTATTTGGGATTAAGTTTGAAGGTATGTTTCAATGTATTTTTTTCTATTCATCTACAAGAAATAGAACAGTGCTTCATTTTATTTTTACAAGATTGTAAATCTATTTTCATGATTCAGATTCAATCTTTTTATTGGGCTATAATATTATTTTCACGAGTTCCAACTTTTTCATCATTTAAATCGTAAATGAACAATTTTATCAACACGATCTGAAATATGTGTTGTTTATTTTTTATTAAAATGTCTACTGGTGTAAGATTTATGACAGTATGATCTTTTGTAAGATTATAAGATAATTTTCTTGAGATGGTTGCCGATCGATTCATTGTAAGATTTTTTTATTTATTGTTGCGATTTAAACTTCGATCGATGAACGAATTTATCGACTTTGCGTTGGCTTCTGAGGTGCCACGTCATAGCACGTGCCAGGCCGGTTTCGTCAACCCGCGCGTCCTCCACCGCACGTGCCTAAGGGAGACCGTCGTCCCTTTTACAACCGCCCACGAAAAAACCCTTCTTTCTACTGGAGGGATTGGAATCGACCGAGCAGCGGAGATGAAGCTGGGTCTGGTGCCGCCCCTGGTGCTCCTCTGCTCCGATCTCTTGCTACACAGCAGCCCTCCTCTCATCTCTGCCCTTCCTTTCGATCCTCTCGCCTCCGGCGCCGCCCCAACAGGTCGGCCTCCCACACTTCCCCCCGTTTACTTGCCCTCGCTCATCAGTGCCATGCGGTGGATGTCGTGTTTGCGCTTCTCTTTTAGTTCCTTTTCTTGTTCTCTAGATTTAGTTGTTTATGGCGTGAGTCGGTAGGCAAAAATCGAGTCTTTTTCTTTCTCTCTTTGCTTTTTTCTTCATTGGATGCTCTAGTTTTGATCTGTCGGAGATCACGAGTTTCTCATTTTCCTTCTGTGTTGTATGGGTACTGATAAGCTACTTATTGTAGGTGGAGAAGATGCAATGGCAGCGTTGTACATCAACACCGCTAACATATTCTCTGTTAATCTTATTGCATATATTCATGTTCTTTTCCAGCTTCTATGAGTTTTACCCCCCTTCAGATTCACTTGATTGAATTGATATGGTAGTGCAACAATTGTCGAAGTTTAGATTCGAATTGTATGCATAATTCGTAGTTCGATCCAACTCCAAGTTGCTAACCTTTCACCAAATCAAGTTCATCTAGTACGGTACTATCTAATAAATGATTAAGACAGATATCTTCATTAGTTCGTGTATTGCAGAGTTGGATCCCACTTTTAGCAAAAATTGCAGAGTTCCTGAACTCAGTTTTTATTTTTGCTCTAATTGGTAGAGCACTATATTACAATTGTAACTTTGTCTTTTTGATACCGTGCTGCATCTGCCTGTTTTACAGAAGGTTTTGGCACTATGTTAAGTAGAATAATTGAAGACATCCTACAGAAAGCAGCCTTTATCAGTTCTAGGGTTTTCTACCTGAGTTGATCATGTTCTTTGTACTTGCTTAAAAGTCAAAGAACAATTGATAGATGTTTTGTGTTTATTTAACTTGGCAGGTCAAGTTAAGGCATTTTATGGATTAATTTTGTTTGAACTTCTAGGAAAGTAGAATAATCAAAGAAATCCTACAGAGCAACCCTTATGACTGCTACCCGGTTTCATCATATTCTTTGTACTCAAGTTAAATGACAACGGATGGATGTTTCATGTTTATTTTAACTTGGCAGGCCATGAATCAATACACCCCTCACCATGTTTTATGTGAGCTTCTAGGCAAGTAGAATAATTAAAGAAATCCTAATAGTAAGCAACCTTTATGACTTCTAAATTGTTCTACCAAGTTCATCATATTCTTTGTACTTAAGATAAATGACAATTGATGGATGTTTCATGTTTGTTTTAACTTAGCAGGTCAAGTTAACAAATTGAGACGACCCTCGCTATGTTAAATATATGATCTGGTTTTGTTTGAACTTCTAGTTCAGTGGAATAATTGAAGAAATCCTACAGAAAACAACTCATATGACTTCTACACTGTGTTATATACACAAGTTAAATGAAAATTGGTGGATGTTTAATGTTTATCTTAACTTAGCAGGTCAAGTTTATGCATCGAGACGGCCCTCCAATGTTATTTTCCATCCACCAACCGGATCCTGTGTCCTTCGGAAGTCTGTAACAGACCCTTTGAGACTAGGGCCCTGCAACCAGTCTGATGATTGGAACTACACACCTCAAAAGTTTCTGGTTGTGAAGGGTACATACTTCTGTTTGCAATCTGTGGACTCAGGCAAACCAGCAAAGCTCGGAATCGTTTGCTCCGAATCAGATTCTTCATGGGACATAACATCGAAATCCAAGGCACAGATCTCCAAAGAGCTACCTGATGGTACTGCCTTGTGCTTGGATGTTGATCCTGAAAACACTCTCATCACAAACCCATGCTTGTGCTTGAGCATTGGAACCTGCGACCGTGAGAGCCAATGGTTCGAGTTCACTGCCCGAAATGAAGTTCCAGTTGCTCAGCTTTCTCCTATGAACACAGCTCAAAACTCAACTTCTCCATAAAGTTCTACTTATGAGAATCCAGAGATGCCAGCATGTGATTAAATAATGTCTGTGACCAGGATTCACTGTTCTGTATTTAGAATGAAGAGGAAAAAGAACTGTTGCATCCTTGGTGTCTTACCTATATCTGATGACATATCATTCAAACTTTATGATGCCATGATCATCTATAATATATTTTACAAAATGATAAATGATGAAGGCCAGATTTGATCACAGAATTTTGCTGATAGATTTTCTTTTGAATGATCCAAATGCCCCTATTGGAAGCCTATTGTCACAAGGGAAAATACTTGGTTTATTAAAGGTTTGTTTATTATAGTACTCTCGACACCAAAAAGAATATAATTGAGATAAGCAAAATGTTTATTGCTGATTCATTAAGTATTTTATCAAGTTACCAATAATAAACATAATATAAATGTCTCTATTAATCTAACATTATGTGCTCACCCAAGTGAGGTGAGATGTTATGAAATATTAAAATATAAATAATATAAATATAATTGATAAATATTATTATATAAATTAAAATATGACACTAAATTAAAAAAATCTAGAGTACTAAGTCATGTTATCCATCTTCTAATAATAAAATTATTAAAAGACTCAAAACAATTCAGTTTTGTATCAAATTCAATCATCATTATAATTAATATCGTTATTTTTAAATATATAATCAATTTTCTCTTCCTCTTGTTCATCTTCATCAAAATATATTTTCTCCTCTTTGGCAATGACAAAAGATGAACTTAAGGCTTTTGTATTTATTTTTTTCTTTATCATTTATCTTATACATATTTATAATTCTCCAACACTTAGTTGTCTTAGATCAAACTATCACTAGAATTCCAAAAAGACCATCAACATTCTTATATAAAAATAGTTTATGTATAATCTTATCTTGCAGCTCATTGAAATCAATTTTACAATGCACTGATATAATCCATTTACAACTTCTCCATCAAACTTGGAGGTGTTCCAATTGTATATGTGATGGATGATGAATGATATTTATATCTTTCGTTGTAAATATTTTCTAATACTTTTCTTTATTTCCATCAACAGACATTTGAATAATCCCTTTTGCTCTATCCATAACTTTATAAATATATCTAATTATTTTTATTATCTACGAACCGAAGGACTTGAACAAGAGGGCTCATTACCTTTAATATATAAACTATAAAATTTTTAAAAAATGACATTAAGATGACATCATTGACCCTTTTGCTTTTTTGCTTCTTTTGTCCATCACTTATTTCTCCGAAGTAAATATATTTCTCATATTATATTTTTGACGATATATGCTTTGTAATATCAAGAAGAAAGTAGCAAATCGAGTAATGTCATATTTCACAAATTCTTTATTGCTTGTGAATTCTCTTATAATATTCAAAGCTCTAGTATGATTATAGAAAAATCTAACAACAAAGATTGACTTTTTTTAAGTCTTATTGATTTCAAGAATTTTTTCAATATCCTCTAATATTAAATTAATATAATGTGTTATATATGGAGTCAAATATAAGTATTACTTTTTTGCTTCAAATAATTTATATAAGATAAAGGATAACAAAATTGATAAGACTTGGTCACATAGTTCTTCAATTCAAATTGGAGATAGAGTAATTAAAAGATTAAAAAACTTAAAAGATAAATCTTACCGACTAACACATAGTTACTTCCATTGTTAGTTATAACTTAGATAATATTTTATTCACCAATTTTTTCCATAAACTTATCAAGCAAATCATATATCTTTTCTTCGGATTTCAATTCAAATTCGAGATAGAGTAATTAAAAGATCAAAAAATTTAAAAGATAAATCTTACCGGCTAACACATAGTTGCTTCCATTGTTGGTTATAACTTAGATTATATTTTA